GACGGCTCATTGACGTCAGGAAGAGGTCGATCATCCTGGCGGAATCCTTCCGGTCCTTTTCCAGCTTCTCAGCCTTGCGGGGGTCGATCTTCAAGATGATGCGCTGCAACGTGGTCCATGGCGTGCATGGAAATGCGGCATGGACCCGTACACTCTGGCCCTTCCGCAGGTTCTTCCGAATCTTGTCCTCGAGCTTCTCGACGATGGGCTTCCGAGAGAGGTCATATCCAGGAAGACCGCAACGTACAGCAGCTCCTCCACTCTCGATCCACTTCGCACTGAGCTTGCTGTCGGGGTTGCAGCACCACTCGTAGAGGATGGTGGTGTTGCTCGAGATTCCGCTCGAGTTCGTAGTTTGCTTGGCCAGGTCAGCCTTGAGCGCCTGGCTGACTGTGTGTGGCTTAACGCCGCTCTTGTTGGTGACGATGGCCGACCGCTTGCCGGCGGTCAGCTGCAGCCTTGTCCCTTTCTTGAGCCGCCGTACCTTCATCTGCTCCTCCTCCACGACGTTGACCTCCTTCGGGTCGTTGTCTTTCTCGATGTCCAACGTGACCGAGTTGCCGAAAACGCACTCGGAGCAGAACCCGAGGTGGCAACAGTCTGTATAGGACTTGGCGCCGCAGGCCACGCAATCGTCGAGGGGCTCGGCGATGCAGGTAGTAGCCGGCATCATTGTTGGAGCAAACGTCGGCGGCGTGACCGCCGTCGAACAGCAGACCAACGCAGAGCTTACGGCGGCCATGAGCTTTGAGCTGCCGCCGCGTCGCTGTTGAAGTCGTCTCGGTACATTGAGCTCCTTCTTGGGAATGAGTCTCGTGATATTCTCGAGCAAGTTGCTCGCCTTCGTAGTGAGGTTGACATTGGGCTTCGGGACTGGCCGCTTGGCGATGCTCTTGGTACTAACAGCCTTCGGTCCAAAATCATGCCCCGCGCCCGTGATGGCGAGCCAGTCCTCCGGGTGGAGGTCAATCGCGGGATGTCCTGCGCTGCTCGTGGTGAGCTTCTGGGAATGGTTCCCGATGCGAATCTGTTCCCGCCAGAGCGAGATATCGATCTTGCTCGGCTGGATGAAGTCCCGGCCGATAAGCAGGCCGAGCGTGGGGCTGTCCACGACGCTGAATATTATGCGACCAGCGCGGCCACACAGGACGAGTGGGGCTGTGACGCGCATCTTGCTCGGGAGCGTGCCACCGTTCCCGAACCTGTAGACTTCGTTCTCTGGCTCCTCCAGGATCTGGTCGGCCAGACCCATCTTGGTGAGCTTCTCCTTGTACTGCTTGTACCAGCTGAGCCCGCCAACGCAGAAGAGACAGGCAGTGTCGATCACGCCGACGCCGTCATCGTTGGGCTTCTCGCCAGCGTTGGTGGTGTTTATGGTGGGCAAGTCTGGCACCACGCGCTCGGAGACCAGAGTCTCGGGGGGCGGGGTAGTCGGACCTTCTGGATGAAGAATCACTTCCTCGTCACCAAACTCCACGTGATTCTGGTCGTGGACCTGCTCGGTGATGTTGGCCTGGCGGTGCGAGCGACCTCCGCCGCCTCGTCCTCCGCCCTTTTGCTTAGAATTTGGGGCGAACTTTCGAGCCCCTGGTGTCGGGCACTCCTTGTCACCGGTCCAGTGCCCCGCCTCGCCGCAGTCCCAGCACTTGGAGTTCTTCTTGCGCTGGTCCACGCGGCCTTGTAGCTTGCCCGCGGGTCGGCGCTTGGCCGAAGCCTTCCCGCGGCCCTTGATAGCTTCCCGGGCCGACCGTATGGTCGCCATGGCCTCGGGAATCGCGGCGAGCTCCGCCGCGGCAGCCTCCACCTTAGCAGAGTCGTCCCGATCGAACACCTCGCCGAGGTCGTAATTTGACTGCTCCAGCTCGGCGCTGAAGGCCTCGAGCTCCTGGCGCACGATGTCCTGGACGTCTGCCTCCGTATCGTTGTCGTCGCCGTCCTCCGAGTCCTCATGCTCGTCTTCTGGCTCGTCAGCGATGTTGGCTGATCGTGCTCGGCTTGGCGGTGAGCGCTGCCAACTACTGTTTGATCGCTGCGGCCACGATCGTGACGGCAAGCTCGTGTGTCGTTCAGATGTGTGAATATCGGGGAACATGCGCACCAGCAGGCCCCTGATGCGCTGAAATGAGTAGTGCTCGTCCGGCAAGTTGCCCACGACGCGCTCACGGCGCTCGGCCGTGAGCCCAGCCTTGCGTAGCAGGAACCAGCCGGCCACGTCGTCAAGCGTAGTGAGGTCAACCTCGTTCTCACGTAATTGCTGTAGTCCCGCCTCGAATCGCACGAGCCAATCCGTCATGCGTTCTCCACGGCGGCGATGGTGCTGAGTCGACTCGAAGAACCTTTCAAGCGTCTCTCCCTTCTGCACCGGCTTCTGCTGGCCTAGGTTTGCTTCGAGGTGCATCAGTACGTTCTCGATGCCCTTCTGGTTGCGATCGCGCTTCTTCTCGTTCGCATCCTCGATGCCGTCGTCCGGCGGCGGGTGGAGCTCCTGCTCCGTCATGTTGAGAGCGGCCGACCTGGCTGTACCCGTCAGACGCAGGACTAACTTCGATGCCAGGCTTTGTGTCACTTCCAAATTCTCACTGAGCTTCCACAATTTTACCTCCTGTTTGTAATCTCGCCATTTCGCTGGATCTCCATTCCAGCTTGGTATCACTGACTGATTGTGTGTGAACTCCGTCATCTTGACACCTTCGTAGGTGGAGTATGTGGCGTCGCTGACACCGTCGTAGTAGAAGTATATGGCGTCGCTGACACCGTCGTAGGAGAAGTATATGGCGTCGCTGACACCGTCGTAGGAGAAGTATATGGCGTCGCTGACACCGTCGTAGGAGAAGTATATGGCGTCGCTGACACCGTCGTAGAGGAAATATGCCGCGTCGCTGACACAGGCGTAGGAGAAGTAGCTGTCGTCGCTGCTGAGGGTGGGAAAGAAGATGGAGTCGCTGGCGTCGCTGACGCTGGCGTTGGAGCTGGCAGGGATGTAGGCGTAGTAGGCGTAGTCGCTGGCGTCGCTGACGCTGGCGTTGGTGCTGGCGTCGCTGACGCTGGCGTAGATGCTGGCGTCGCTGACGCTGGCGTAGGTGCTGGCGTCGCTGACGCTGGCGTAGGTGCTGGCGCTGAGCAACAGCGCGAGGAGACCGCTGGGCCTCGATTCCAGTATGGAGCGCGACGTCGCAGACGTCGTCTTGGGTATGCGGCCCCGCGGGCCGGGATAGCGAGCCTCGCTCCAAGCTACCACTGTGATATGGATGGCGCGCGCGGCGCGACGATCTTTAGGCGAAAGAGAGCGCTGCTCAATCTATCTGCGTAGCTCTAAGGCCAAGGGCCCTAGTTCGAAACAAAACGGCAGCGGCACGAGCGGGCGTGAGGGATAGAGCGGGGATGCAGGAAGGGCACGGGGAGTGAGCGGGAATCACAGCCTTGTATGGCTTAAACGTTACCTTAAATTGTTTTGCATTCCGTTGCCTTGGTTTGCATTGCTTTGCACTGCTTTGAGTTGCTTTGTTTTGCATTGATTGGCATTGCGTTCCTTTGCTTTGCACTGCTCATCACTGCTTTGAACTGTTCATCAGTGCTACGCATTGCCTTGCATTGTGTTACATTGCTTTGCATTGCGTTGCGCTGCTTTGCATTGCTCCGCATTGCAATGCGTTGGTTTGCACTGCGTTGAATTATGTTGCATTGGTTTGCGTTGCTCTGCATTTCTTGTTACTCGTTCGCAGTATTTGCATTTCGTTGCATTAGTTTGCACTGCGTTGCATTGCTTTGCGTTGATCTGCATTGATTTGCATTGCAATATCATTGAATTGTATTGCATTGCATTGCATTGCAACGCGCTGCTCTCCATTGCTTCGCATTGCGTTTCATGGCCTCGCATTACTTCACACTGCGTTGCCTTATTGTGCATTGTGTTGCGTTGCTTTGCATTGGTTTGCTTTGTTTTGCATTGGTTTGCATTGCTCTGAGTTTCTTTCTATGCGCCACATAGGTTGCACCACATTGATTGCACCGCCTAGATTGCGCCACTTTGATTGCACCACCTAGGTTGCACCGTATAGATCCCAACGAATCATTGTTTGGGGCTCACGCTGTCTAACATACAGACAGATCGAGAGATTGAGGGAGAGAGGGAGAAAGAGAGAGAACACACAAGGGAGAGAGACAGAGAGAAAACAGCACCCCGTCAGTGAACGATGTGAGGTAAAACAAAATCATTGGATACACTTCGGCATGACACCCGCATTTCTGTTACGGAAACTCAAACCAACAAGAGGTAATCGCGGAACGCTGCGCGGCACGCTGAAAATACTGCCAAATACTGTGGGCTGCGATGATGGCTTCAAATGACGCGGAACATACCTTCCTCTGACATAGTTCCGCAACGGGGCAATCAACGCAATACTGCGGAATCAACCAGCTTCCGCCTGCTGGGACCGAGACGACGTGCGAGGTGATTGGCTAGCGGCTCCTCCTTAGGGCGCCCAAAAGCTATGCCTGCTACGTCGCGGTGGCCATGCGACTTGGAAAAGAAAAGGAGCGGGGACGCCAAACAAACGAAACGATTCAGTCATTCCTCCAGTGTAGCCGCGGCCTGGCAAGGGATCCCCCCTAGCGGCTCCTCCTTGGGGTGCCAGAGTCGCACCTCTGCTACATCACAGTGGCATCGCGGCTGAGCGTGATCATGACCAGGGCTGGCCAGGAGTAGATCTGTGTGCGAATGAGACTGGTCATGCATGAAAACAAACTTGCGTGAGGCTACGTGTGCGTGGGACTTAATGTGATCAGCTGAGTATGAGCAGGTCGAGAGGAGTGAAAAGAAGGAGGACTACAAGGGAGGAGCGGGAGCGGGAGGCGGAGGCGTGACAATATTAACAAGAACCACATCGCAAAACATAGGGAAATTCAAAGCAGCAGAACCTGTACCTCCTGCAGCTATCGCCATAAGATCCGACGGTACTACGGATGCCAACGCGAAGCTACATGTTCCTTCCCGGGCGCACCGCTCTTCGAATAAACGGTCAATGTGGGTGACGATCGCCCGCACCTCGAGCGGACCCGAGCATGACCCCTCCCTGCATTTCTAATCCAAGTGCAAAACCGTGCTCCGCATCACTCCTCCTCCTCCTCCTCCTTCTCCTCCTCCTTTCCCTCCTCTTCCTTCTACTCATCCTGCACGTCTTCCCTGCTCCTCCTATTCCTCCATCTCCGTACTGCTGGGAAAAATGGCACACGTGCCCTGGCCCCTGATGGGAAAGCTGGCGAACGAACGACACGGCATAAATGGCTTCAGGCTCCCAAACGCAGCAGTGCAAAAGAACATCACCCTCGAATGGCTGAGATCTTGACGAGTCATTGAAACAAACAACGAGGCGAGAACGAGTCCGCCCATTACAGCATGAGCCAGGCTACGGACAACCTCATCATTATGCACATACTTTCTCATGCGCAAGGTGGGGCTCAACTACAGAGACAGGTTCAATATGCACCAATGTAACGCTCCTTCAACATTAGAGCGAAGAAGCTCAACTACCGAAACAGGTTCAAGCTCTACGGTCCAAAGGATAGACTGCGGGACACAGCATCGCCGACATTCTCATTCCCGAGCACGCGACATTCTTGGCGTGAGCCAAGTGGGTTCGGGAAGCAGCACGTCTTTGGGAAAGCTCGCAGTTGAATTGCGGAGCGGTCGCCCACTGCACAGCTCAAGCGTACTTTTGAACAAAGACAGATGTCGACGCGTGGACCCCGAACAAAAAATTTGTTCTGACTGCTAAAAGTGACTTGTGAAGTTGTCAGAAGTGCAACGTACAAGGCGCGGCATCAAGGGTGCAACCCATGTGGTGCATCCGGGTGGATTTTAACAATTGCAGGCTGTGGCATGCGACTTGCGTGGTGCAGTCTGCGGCTGGACCATGGGGTGAAATGCAAGATAAGCGGCAGGCGGCGGCGGCCGCACCCTGAAATAAACCCCACATGTGGTGAGGGCGACGGCAGGCGCATCCCACCACACCCGCGGAGAAGGCGACGGCGGCGGTTGGACCCCGGCAGCCAACTCACAAGCGGCGACAGCGACGACGGTACTCACCCACGCATAAGGCGACGATGGCGCCCACCTCAGCACTGGCCCCACAAAAGGCTACGGAGACGACGGCACTCACCTGCACAGTAGCAGGACCCCGTCACTCACACACTCACACCTCGAAAAGCAACGGTGGCGCAGGGCGATGGCCAGACCTCGGCACCTACTCCACAGGCGGTAACGGAAAAAACGACGGCTGGGCGCCCGCATTCCGATTACCCATCATTCAACTAATATCTTACAAGTGCAAGCGCTGTTTGGGGATTGTAAAGGGAAACGGGACAGGACCACCAAGGAGAGGGGCAACGTACCCACATGTCATTCCCGACTTGTTTACCACCCCCATCCAAAAACCATAATCGAAACGGCCTCTCGACGACTCGCAAGCTTACTCTGAACTGCAACCTCTGTCTAGAGCCTTGCCCCTAAATGCCGACCGCCCTTGCGGCTTCTCCTCTGCGAGACGTTGCGCAAGGGGATTACACGCGGATCCTCAAATAATCGCGCTCCTCCTCCACGTACTCCGCTACCCTCCTCCTCCTCCTCGTCGGCAATCATGACGTCCACCTCCTCCTGCTCCTCCTCCTCCTCCTCCTCTTCCGCCTTCTCCCGATTCCTGATTCCTCATGGCGTTAGAAATCTCCAACTGCCGCCCCACCAGGTCGGCCCTGGGGAGGTGATCAAACTAAAGCCTGGCGGCGGTTGCCACTAGCTGTGAAAGGAATGTTGTTTTAAACGTAGAACGATAAACGTGGAGGAAGGGGGAGGAGAAGGCGAGAGGCATACACTTTAACAGATCATGACCCCATGAGAAGGGATAAAGAAAGGGGCATGTGGCCAGCGGAGTGTGTGGCAGCGTGGCGCGTGGGGGGCCCGTCGCCGGGCCCGTAGGGCCCGACATTGAGGGTCTTCCTCCCTGCGGGTCCCCTGGCCTGTCGGGGCCAGTGCCCTGGGGGGCGCCCTAGGGCGCCCCTCTGAAGAGGTACCCTGCTTGTCAAACCCTGGGCTGGTAAAGAACGGGTTGCGGGAGCGGAAACGAGCAGCCAGAAGTGTGAAAAAGACAAGCGTGGCAGCGCCTGCTGATGGACGCCCTGGTGGCTATGTGGGCGCCCTGGTGGCTTCAAGGCAAGTCACGCTGGCGCAACGTAAGCTTTACGCAGTAGAGGCAGAGGCGAAACGTGGAGGTGTATGAGGCAAGCCTTGTGGGGGTGGAGGTGCCTGTCCGCGCTCGCCGGTGTGGAGGGCACAAGGGCCTCTCCCTCTGCCAATCGGAGCCCCACCCAGGCGTCCTCTGCTCATAGGAACCCCACCCAAGCGCGCCTAGGGTCAGAGGCGGGATCCTTCACCTGAGACCAGCTCCTCCTCCTCCTCTTTCCCATCCTGCCCTGTCTCCTCTCATCGCTGCATGTCCTGCTGCTGGTGCTGCTGCTGCTGGTGCGGCTCCTCCTCCTCCTCCTCCTCCTCCTCCTCACTCATCCTCTCTCCTAGTCAATACATCCATCTCTCTCTCTCTCGCGCTCTCTCGCTCTCTCCACTCCACCTCCGCCTTCCACCTAGCCAGCATTTGCACCTCGGCCCCAGCCGCGGCCATCTTCCGCACGAGCTCGTCACCCTCCCGGCGCTCGCTGCGCCCGGCGCGCAACACCTCGGTCGACACTGGGGGTGCAGCCACCCAGAGGAGAGGCGGATCGATGAGTTAACTCGATGTGATTCGGGGGCCCCGGGTGGTGCATCACCCAGGAAGCCTCCAGCTCCCAGGAAGCCTCCAGCTCCCAGGGTATGAAGAGAGCTGTCGCGAGTACTCGAGTGCCGTCGGAGTACTCGGAAGAGCCGTTGGCAACCCACGAGTTCGACGGAACCGTCGGGAGTAATTCGACGTTGGGCGAGGGTGAAAAATGGACAACGCGATTGTCTCGTCGTATAGACAATGCTGCAGAGTGAATCAAAGCCCTCCCCCAAAAGTAATCAAAATCGATGTAACATAAAAAACACTTGTGAAATAATGGGGCGGGAACCAATACTCGGCTAAGTACTGCTGGTCGCGATTGCCGAACAGAACTGTGATATTATCATAAAAAGATGTGCGACACGGGGAACCAACCGTCGACGTCAAATCAGGAGTGGCAGCAATTCCGAAGAAAATCAAAACAATGAGATTCGAGGGTCGGCCAGGCCGCCTCGTCAGCAGTGGCATGTGCCGCCAGCCACTGAGCACTGTGTCGGACACGCAGCGCGGAAGAGTCGTCGTGGACGATTCTGGCCGACCCGCAGACCCGAACTCTGGGCCCACGCTCACATCATTTTTTCTGCACCGGGTCAGTCGAGGACAGAGGCCCGAGACTGGTTCCTGGGGGCCCGCCCGTTTCGATACGTTCATGGCGTCAGAGGGTTCGCTGTCCCCACGATGGCGCTGGGCCCCGCGCCCACACGACCACCACCCCCCCTGGCAGCGACGCACTGGCGCTCTGCAACATCCTGGCCATGTCGTTGCGGTGCAGCTGATCCGCGTCGCCAGCGCCTTCGTCTTATTATTGTTCGTTCGAGCTGGATGCGCACATCCCCTGCATACCTATCGCAAACGATACGGCCTCCTCTCTACCAACAGCAAACATCACGCCAACCAATGGAACATATGTACAACAACATGTCCTGACATGTCGCAACTGCCACCTGGGCGAAACATACACCATGCCACTGTCGACACATTGGTGAACGTGCGTTTTCAGAAAAGTCCGAAGCAAGGCGATAACCAGCGAAGACGCAAAACCAAAACCTACATCCATCAACCGAAAAGCAAGTGCCAACATGTGCTGACGCACCAACATGTAAGGCCTTATCCCCTTACCTCACCTCCCGTTCCCTCCTCTACTCTTCCTCCCATCCATCCCTCCCTTCCTCTCCTTCCCCCTACACACACTCCACTCCCTTGCCTCCCATCCCCTGACTCGCCTTTCTTCCTCCGCTCCCGGGGCACACACACACACACACTCACGCCATCACACACATGTAAATACGCACGCACGTTTTTCGAGCGTCGACGATCGGGCTGTGCGGCAGACCGTTCCAAAGTGACTGCCGGCGCGCGCGCGCGCCGGCGAGAAGAGGCGAGCGAGACCGCCAGGACCTTCCGGGGCAGTGGCAGGGCAAGGCGACGCCGTCAAACGAGCGGCGCGGGGAGCGGCGGGGCAAGCGGTGGGGCAGCGGCGGGGCGGCGGCCGCCTAACAGGCGGCGAGGAGGAGGCGATGCCGGCGGGGCAACGCCCGGGAAGAGAGGGGGGGGGGGCGGGCGGGGCCGCGGAGCTCCGCGCCGCCGTGGCAGGGCCGCACAGCACCGAGGGCGTGCGACAGCACGATGCTGGGCAGGGAGAGGGTGAGCGAAGGCACACGTGTGTTTTCTTGTTCTCCCGAGCGTCCCGACCTGCACGGCGAGAAGTGGCAATCCAACTGGCCCCGGTCCAGAAAGTGAAACAGCAAGGACTCAAGGGTCCAGCCAACCGCTGCCGGCGGCGGAGGAGAACGGGGAGCCTAGAGGGGGGGGAGAGAGAGAGAGAGAGAGAGAGAGAGAGAGAGACCGACGTCGGCTCACCGAGGCGGCTCGCGGTCGCAGCAGGAGCCGACTCGCACTCCAAGAAAATTTGCGGTCGGGGCATGCGCGCACACATTTTTCTCGACGCGCTAGTGAGGTTCAGTCAGCGGGCGCAAGATGGGGGGCAACCTTCAAAAAGAAGTAGCTTCCTTTCGGAGACGCGTGGCAAATCGGAGACACCTGGGAAACGCGCGCAGGCGGTGCAGGTTTTTTTCCTCTGCGCAATACCCGGCTGCCGCCACACACAGCCCCTGCTCCGATACAGCGCTGAATCCGCTTCCCCTCCGCTTCCCCTCCATCCGCAGGCGGCGCAGGGCAAAAAACCAAGCGAAAAACGAGAGGCAAGGCGAAGGGCGGACTGGCAGAAACAAATAGAATGCGGGAGTGGCCCGCCGAGAAGGAGGGGCCAGAGACAAGGAGGAGCTGGATGAAGGGTGAAGGGTGCATAGGCCGAGTCGGCCTCGCCACAACGCGGCCCGCGTGGAGAGAGAGAGACCCCCCGCTCACCCAATGCCGACACCGGCCAGGAGCCCCCCCCACGCGGCCCCACACCCATGGAGCAGGGGCCGCGGTGGGGAGGGCGGGCAAGCGGAGGGTCCCCCTCCCCCACCCGCCACTCACGGCGCTCACGGCGTGAGGACCTTGCCGTCCACGTCCAGCTCCACCTCAAGGGCCCGAACGAAGCCGAAGGCGGCAAACCAGACCGCGCGGCAAGCGCGTCTACCCCCAGACCGACAGCGGCGAGCGCAGGCAGCGCCAGCGACACGGTGAGCTCCAAGGCCGAGACCAGGCAGGCGTCCCACAAGCAGCAGCGTGCAGCGGGGCGCCTTAATCTCAGGAAGCTCCAGTGCGCCCAACATGCACATCCTCGGCACGACGATGACGGTCATCAGCCGGGAGCGCGGCGCGGCGGCAAGCCGCCCTGAGAGGCGAGCCCCACCCGCTCCGCCCCTCCGACTGTACCCAGCGGCCGGCGCCACAGCCATCGGCTTCAGCAGCCCCGACGCGGCGGCCTGCGTTCCGCGGCGCCAGGTGGGCGCATGCTCCGGTGGCGTCAGCCGCGCCGACCGTGCCCTGCGACTGGAGCCAGCCCTTGGCCGGCAGCGGAGGCGGGCGCGGGCCAGGCGGGCATGAGCCGAGCCGGCTAGAAGGAGGAGCTGGAAGGAGAGGAGGATGGCAATGACTCAGCGACGTCCGCCGCGCAGGCCCAGGCAAGAGGCAGCCAGCACACACGCACGCACGCAGGCACATATACACACTCCCACAAACAAACACACACACAAACACACACACACACACACACTTTTTGCTTCGCGGCCAGTTGGTCCAACACAGCGAATGCAAACGCGGAACGCGCGTATCAATTGCCACCGATCGTGTGCCGATGGAAAGTTAAGCCAACGAATGGATGCCAGTTGCAGGTAAAAGGGTGTCAAGGGCCGTGCACGGGGCAATGCGAGCACATAAAAGGAAAGGCAGGGCAGCGAGGACGGACAGCAGGCAGCGCGGCTGCGGTAAGGTTGCCCGAGTGTCAGGGCGAAGTGCGGCCGGAAGGACAGGGTTGGCAGGGACGACAGGCAGCGTGCTGACACACACACACACACACACACACACGCACACACACACACACTAAAAACAAATATTCACTGCGTGGAGCTCCCCATATGTGCATCTCTTTGCATTGGCATTTCCGCCGTGAATGTCTAGGCGCAAGAAACTTCGAACATAAACGAGCTTGGGTATTGACAGCCTGGGAGAGAGTCTAACTGTGAATGACTTTGAGTGTGTTAAGCACTGGTAGTACGAGTGAGTCTATGCGCGTGAGCCTGCGCATGGCTAAGCTTGGGGTGAGAGTGTCTGCACGTCAGTGGCCTGAGCATGACTGAGCGTGACTGTATCCTCCTGGGGTCTCTTGGGGCTTCCTGGGGCCTCCTCTTGGGGCCTCTCTGGGGCTTCCTGGGGCTTCCTGCAGCCTCTCGGAACTCTTGGGGCCTCCTGCGGCTTCCTGGAGCCTCCTGGGGCCTCTTGGGGACTCTTGGATCCTCCTGGGGCATCTTGGGGACTGCTCCTCCTTGAGCCTCCTGGGCCTTCCTGAGGCCTCTTTTTTTTGCCAACTCGCGGCCTCAAAATACTCAACACGGAGCCCGCGCGCGCGCGGCACGCGGGCGGGGCCCCCTCCTCCCCGGCGAGTCGGTCAGCCGCCGGCGCCCGCCGCCTCCACGAGCGAGACCCCCGCGGCGCTCCGGGCCGGCGGGCAGCCCCCCGTCGCGCAGCAGCGGGGCGCCGCGTCGTTGTAGACGGCGGAGCCGGCCACCAGGAGGGCGAAGCCGAGCAGCTGCAGGAAGCTCCACGAGGTCCAGCGCTCCGCCGCGCCGCCGCCCACGAGCCGGGAGAGGGCCACGTCGAGCAGCCAGACCAGTGGGGACACGAGCTGGCCCAGCACCACCCTGGTGAGGGCGCTGAGGTGCTCCGTGGTCTTGAAGGCCGCGGCGTTGAAGATCAGCAGCATCGCCCACAGGCCGGCGATCTCCGCGGCGAGCGCGGGGCGGGCCGCCACGAGAGCGAGGGACGAGCCCAGCTCCTCGTGCACCGCGGGCGCCCAGGCCTCGGGCGCGCGCGGGGTGGCGGCGAGCACCGGGAACAGCACGGCGAACATCAGGACGCCCCACAGGCCCATGACGCCAACGGACATGAACGCGGACGCGCCGCTCTCCCCGAGCAGCCTCTCGGTCACGATGAACTCCAGCGCGTAAAACAAGTTGGCCAGCAGGACCATGAGCAGCCCCAGGGGCGGCGCCCAAGCGGGCAGCCCCTCGGACGTGCCGTCATCCTGGCCGCTCACGGAGGCGACGCGGGCGGAACCGACGACGAGGAGCCCGACGACGAGGACGCCCACGCCGAACGCCTCGTGCTTCGCCATGACGTTTCCCAAGAGGGTCTTCGACAACAGTGCTGTGAACACGACGTTGGCGGCCCCCATCATCTCGACGATGGAGGCCGGAACCCAGAGGGCTCCAGTGAAGATGAACCAGCTGCCAAGCAGGTCGCACAACGCCGGCACCAAGAGCCTCAGCACAACGCCGCGCGACGGCCAGAACGAGCCCGAGGCCGCCGGGGCCGCTGGGCCATGGAGAGCACGCCCAGGGCCCAGCCGTGAGCGCCACGCGGGGACCTCGAGCACCAAGCAGGAGGCCATGGCCAAGAACATGACGAACTCCAGCAGGAAGGGCCGCTGGAAGCGCAAGTCCCCGTCCTTGCGTGTTGCCACAGTGGTGCCGTAGATGGTCCGGTCCAGAGGCATCAGAGATACGCTGCTCAGCACCATAGCAGCACCCCATGCGAGGCCGATCCTCATCGCCAAAGCTGTGATCGTGGGTGCGAGCACGCCCAACCTGACTGAAAACTCAAGCCGAGAGGGAAACGATATCGTGAGAACTAAGGGTGTACCTTATCGCATATCAAAACGACCTTTGCAAGTTCAGAGTTGATCCAAACTTGAGCCAAAATGGCTACGGAGGGCCTTCCTGAGGCCTCTTGGGGCTTCCTTGGGCCTTCCTGGCGCTTCCTGGGGACTGAGCCTCCTGAGACCTCCTGGGTCCTTCCTAGCGTTTCCTGGGGCTTGCTCGGGCCTCTTGGAGCCTCCTGGTACCTCTTGACCTCTTGGGGCTTCCTGTGGCTTCCTGAAGTCTCCTGGGACCTTGTGGGGCCTCCTGGGGCCACCTGGGCCTTCCTGGAGCCTCCTGGGGAGGATTCGTGCCCCAGGAGAGGCCCAATCTACAGGAACATATGCAAAACACGTAAGATTGGAACCACAAGAGAAGAACACTATATAGGAGCATACGTGAAACACCAAGGATTCGTGCCCCACAGGACGCCCAATCTATAGGAACATATGTAAAACACTCCGGATTGGAGCCACAGGAGAAGGACAATATATATAGGAACATACGTAAAGCACGAATGATTCGTGCCACAGGAGAGGCCTGATCTAGACTAACATACATGAAAAACACAGGATTGGAGCCGCTCCTGGGGCCTCCTGGGGCCTCTTGGGGCCTCCTGGGGCCTCCTGGGGCTTTCTGGGGCCTCCTGGCGCTTCCTGTGGCTTCCTGGGGCCTCCTGGGACCTCCTGGGGCCTCCTGGAACTTTCTGGGGCTTCCTGGAGCTTCTCGGGGCCTCTCGGAGCCTCTTGTGGCATTCTGGGGCTTCCTGTGGCTTCCTGGAGCATCCTGGGGCTTCCTGGGGATTCCTCGAAACTCTTCGAAACCCCTGGGGGGCCCTGTGGAGAGCTAAATCCAACAGACCGCCTGAGTCATGACCGCAATGTAAGCGCGCACGGAGGCCGTGCGACTGGTATCGATTCGAGGCTACGCCGCTGGCGGCCCCTTTGGGGAGCTAAATCCAGCAAGCCGCTCAAGACATCCTCCGAATCTGCTGTGAGCGCAGACTGGTCTGGCCACCAAAACAAACAAACCGCCTGAGACATCCTAAGAATCTGCTCCGAAAACGAAGGATGTCAAGCACCGGAACAGGCAAACAACCTGAGACGTCCCCGCAATCTGGGCGCGAACGGAAGCCGTGAGTACCCCTGGCGGTCCCCCCTTAGGAGTGCGAAAACCACCGCCTCGCTTGAGACATCCTCAGAATTTGTTTTCAGGATTTGCTCTGAGCGCAACGAGTCTGGCCACCAAAACAAGCAAACCGCTCGAGACATCCTCGAAAACTGGGCCCCTTGGACTGCGAAAGCCCACGCCTCGCACGATACATCCAAATCTGTTCCGAAAGCGGAGGATGTTGGGCATGCAGACAGGCAAACCGCCTGTGACACCCCCGCAATCTGGGCGCGAACGGAGGCCGTGTAATACCCCTGGCGGCTGGCGGCCCCCCCTTAGGAGGCGCCTCGCACGAGACATCCTCAAAATCTGCTCCGAAAGCGGAGGATGTTGGGCATGCAAATAGGCAAACCGCCTGAGACATCCCAGCAATCTGGGCGCGAACGGAGGCCGTGCAATACCCCTGGCGGCCCCCGATTAGGAGTGCTAAAACCAGCAAGCTACTTGAGACATCCTCGTCATTTGCTCATCTCCGTCATCATCATCACCATCATCATCATCAGCAGCATCATCAGCATAAGAATAAGCATAAGCATAAACATAAGCATAAGCATAAGCATAAGCATAAGCATAAGCATAAGCATAAGCATAAGCATAAGCATAAGCATCATCATCATCATCATCATCATCATCATCATCATCATCATCATCACCATATTCATCCATCATTCGCCATCACCATCATACTCATATCATACTCTCACCATACCATGGTGAAGAGAGGGAGAAGGGAGGGTAGGGGTGAGAAGGGTCCGGCGCGGTCAGAGTAATTATTCACTGCGTGGAGCTCCCCATACGTGCATCTATTTGCATGGACTGGGTGTGAGTGAGTCTGAGTATGGGTATCATGAGTACGAGTCTGAGCACAAGTGAGTCTGGGACATCCTCGCAATCTGCCTCCCCTGGGGTGCGAAAACCAATGAGTCTGAGTATGAGTATGGTGAGTACGAGTCTAAGTCTGAATGGGTCTGGTGTGAGGGTGGGTGGGTCTGAGTGTGAGTGATTCTGAGCGTGAGTACATCTGAATGTGAGTGGGTCTGAGTACGAGTGAGTCTGACTACGAATGAGTCTGAGGGTGGGTGGGTCTAAGTGTGAGGGAGTCTGAGTGTGCGTAAGTCTGGGTATGCGTGAGTCTGATTATAAATATGATGAGTGCGAGTTTGAGTATGAGTGAGCCTGAGCACGAGTGAGTGTGAGCATAAGCGGGTCTAGGACATTCTCGCCATCTGGGCCCTCTGGGAGTGCGGAAATCAGCGCCTCGCCATAGGCATCCTCAGAATCTGCTTTGACAGCAGACGAGTCTGACCACCGAAACACACAAACCGCTTGAGACGTCCTCGAAATCTAGCCCCCTGGGGTGCGAAAACCAGAGCCTCGCCTGAGACATCCTCAGAATCTGCTCCGAAAGCGGAGGATGTTGAGGACCAAAACAAGCAAACCGCCTGAGACATCCCCACCATCTGGGCGCGAATGGAGGCCGTGCAATACCCCTGGCGGCCCCCCCTTAGGAGTGCTAACACCAGCAAACCGCCTGAGACATCCTCCGAATCTGCTCCGAAAGCGGAGGATGTTGAGGACCAAAACAGGCAAACCGCCTGAGACACCCCCACCATTTGGGCGCGAACGGAGGCCGTGCAATACCCCTGGCGCCCCCCCTTAGGAGTGCTAAGACCAGCAAGCCCGTCGAGACATCCTCATCATCTGCTCATCGTCATCGTCATCGTCATCGTCATCGTCATCGTCATCGTCATCGTCATCGTCATCATCATCATCATCATCATCATCATCATCATCATCATCATCATCATCATCATCGTCTTCATCATCATCAGCATCATCAATTATTCACCATCACCATCATGCTCACATCATACTCTCACCATGCCATGGTCATCATCATGACAATCATCATCATTGTCTAGTGCAGAGAGGGAGGAGGGGAGGGGTTCTCTTGGTCCGGCGCGGTCGGAGAACAACAAGACACCCATCCTTTGGATATGGAGAATGACGAGAACCCATCCTAGGATATGGGGAACAATACCGAACAGGACAAGGCGCAAAAGCAGCTAATTAGAGGGACACGAGAGGCAGGGATGGAAGGGAACGTTAGGAGAGAAATGAGGATGAGGATCATGCTGGATAGGAAGAGAAGGGAGACGATGAAGGCCTGGGGTGTCCACCAAGTATATCGGGCAGCATCTGTCGTCCCCAGCGGGATGCAGCTCGAACTGGATCTGCGGCCCCGCGAAAGAGGAAGCCAAGAGCCCTCCGCAAGGCCCCCACGACGAATTTTCGCCCGCTTCTCCACGGTCATCGACCGCTCGAACGCCCACTGTAGCCATGCCACCCTCACAACTGCTTTACTCCATCCGCCCTTCCTTTGCTCCTCTTGCTTCTTGCTCCTCCTCCTCCTCCTCCTCCTCCTCCTCCTCCTCCTCCTCCTGTCAAGGTTCGTGTCAATGGCCTGGTTTTGCGTTGACGTCCCAAACCACCGATCCAGCTTAGACACGCTTGAACCTACGCTGGCCTGACCTGCAGGACACCGCAGGGCACCTCGCGAAACCTGGGGATCCTGAGGGACAACTAGGAATCCGCGAGAATACTCCGGAACCTTGTCGCGCCCTCCACGGATCGTCGTTGATTTCGCAGGGCTCTTTCCAAGCTTCGGGGCCCCGTTGTAGAAATCGCAATGGAAGCGCACGGGGCCTTCCAGAAAATCGCAGGAACCCGCCCAAACCCACAAAATCCAAAAGTTTCCAGGCATCCTCTCGTGATCCTTGAAGAAGGCTCCAATCATCTAAATGAGCCCTAGGCCCGAGGGACACCGCAGGAGCCCCCAGAAGTAGCATGATGATTCGCCCAGAAATCCTCCAAGAAGATCCTTCAGGACCCCGCGTGAGTCGCCGAGAGCTCTCGTGGCCGCAAAGGAAACCGAACAGCCCGGCGCGCTCTCGATCCCAAGGCGTTTCTCTGAACGCCGTGCTAAGACGGGGTTCGGACGTGAAGCGCTAGTGGTTGCAGGCGTCGGGCAAGGCAGTGAAGGGTGATGTTGAGAGTGGCGCGCTCGTGCTCGCAGTACAAGAGTGCTCTCCTTCTCGTCCTCCTCCTCCTCTTCCTTTTCTTTTCTTTGCTCCTCCTGCTCGCCCCTTCTCCTCATCCTCTCTCCGTAATCAACAGGGAAGTTGGGTAGTCAGTCCAGCGCCGGGAGCACGTCGATTGTTGTTCTAGGCAGGAAGGGAACAGGCAGGAGGAGGAGAAGGATGAGGAGGACGCGTGACACACGCAGCCGCGTTGCGCTGAGGATTCCAGAGCGATTCCGGGAGGATTCCTGTTGATTTCTGCTGATTCCCGAAGTCTTCCATGGATTCTGTTGGAGGGTTTCTGAAGAGTTTCTGAGAGGTGCCGCGGCTTCTTGCCGATTCCTGATGATTCCTGAGAGGATGCCTGCAGGATTCCTTCGGTTTCTCGCACGATTCCTCGCAGTTTCTTGACATTTCCACCAACTGTTCGCGCAAATCGTTGGACGTTTCGTGGGGATTCGCCGGGTTCTTCAGGTTTCCTACTGCGGACTCCTGAAGATTTTTCAGGGACATGGATTTGGGATGACTCCAGCAGGCTCCTGAAAGATCCTTACAGGTTCTTGCAGGATGTCTGAAGGATTCCTGAGGGTTCCTGCCGGATTCCACCGAATATTCACAACGGATGTTTGCAGATTCCTTGACGATTTGCGAGGATCCTTGAGGATTCCTGAAGATTCTCTGCTGCGGGTTTTTGGAAATTCTTATGGAATCCAGAGTCATTCTTGGCGGGTTCCTGGGGATGCTTGCCGATTCCTGAAAGGTTCCGGGAGATTCTTGCGGCGTTTTTGAAGGATTCCGGGGGCTTCCTGTTGTTTTTCCAAAAGATATTCGAAGACTCTTGAAAATTCGCTGCCCACCACAAATGAATTGATTGGTCACGGCGTTAACGAGCGCATTCCAAAGGGGTCCCGGAGGATGCCTCCGGATTCTTTTGGATTCATGCAGGTTGCTCACAGATTTGTTGGGGTTTCAAGGTGTTCCTTGGTTATCCGTTTGATTTTTCGGTCTCCAAGGGCTTCTTCAGGAATGGCACAGATTCCAATGGATTCCTCTAGGGTTCCCGTCGGAGTCCTGACGGTTCATGAAGGTTTGCTGGCGACTCCTGGAAGATTCCTGAGGGTTCTTCAAGAATTCCTCAAGGCGTCCTGGTGCGTCCTGCGCGCAGAATTATCCAGGATGTCTCGAGCGAAAGGCTTGCGTTGCAGCGGTTGATTGGATTCGGCGCCCCAGGATGCGTGGGTGGTTCAGGGAGTGCGGACGCAATGTTACTTACCAGGGACCGTGGCCATGGGAGCGCGGACGCCGCGTAATGTATGATGGATATTGGTCTTGGGAGCGCGGACGCAGCGTAATTTATTAGGGGTCCTTGCCCAGGATGGGCGGGGCAGAGCGTAATTTACTATAGATCATGGTCCTGGGGGGAGGGGGGGGGCGGACACAGCGCAATATTCAAGGGATCGTGGCGCTGGGAACGCGGACGCCACGTAATGTACGAGGGAACCTGGCCCTGGGAACGCGGACGCAACGTAATGTTCTCTGATCCTGTCCCTGGGAGCGCGGGCGCAGCGTAATTTACAAAGTGCGGCACCGTTATTCACAAAGGATCGTGGCCTTCGGAGCACGGGCGCCGCGCAAGTTACAAAGGATCGTGGCCTTAGGAGCGCGGGCGCTGTTAGGGTTCCTCAGGATTCCAACAGATGTTTCAGGATTCCTACAGATTCCTGAGTCCTGAGGAACCCTGCGGGGTTCCCGAAAAACTCCCGAGGCTTCCTGCAGGTTTTCTGCCGACTCCTGAGTGTTTTGCTGGGTTTCCTGAAGATTCCTCCAGATTTCCTCCATGCTTTCTGTGAGCCTTCTAGACTCTGGGGGATGCTTGAAGTTTTTGAAAGGGTCCAAAAATGATTCCTGAAGGATTATTGAAAGGATTCTTGCGGATTCCCCCAGGTTGCTGACGCATCCCTCGTAAATTGTGCTGCGCTCGAGCCCGCGCTTATTGAACTTATTTGAAGTGCTAGCATATCACGGGGTGAATTATCTCGGTGGTGTCCCCCCTTCCAGAATTACGTGAGATTTTCGGTGGCATCGATAGCACTGGGGGGATCGATCATATCTCCCCAAGGTTAAGTAGAAGCTGCGCCCGAGAAATGCAGAATGCTTCCAAGAGGTCCTCCGGGAAGCCAGGTAGGCCCCTCATAATGTATTAATGGAGGCTTTCCTGGGGACCCAGGAGGACGTCAGGAGGCCCAGCCGCCGAATCTTTGCCCAGACTGTCCTACGCGAAGCCCTCTCAGGCATCACCATTGTTAGTATGTGGACGTTTGCTCACGGTAGCCCCGTACCCCGAGAATAAAGCATCCCTCCCCCTCAGCCTCTAATTTTTCATTATGCTGGGGGTTGGTCGGGGGAGAGGGCCGGCGAGGTCGAATAATGGCATTATCGCCTTCGTATTCCGAGGGAAGATGCGAATCGAAGTTGCGATTTTCTGATGTTGAGTAGAGGATTATACATCCAACATTGGTTTACCTTTACGACTACTATTAATATTATGACGACGCTTATTACTACGACTACTACTGCTGCTACTACGGCTAATATTATTATGATTCGAATTACTAGTAATACTAATATTACGAGCGCTACTACTACTACTACTACTACTACTACTACTACTACTACTACCACTACCACTACTAATACCAATGCTTTTAGTGAAACTATTTCTCTTACTATTACTTCGACTACTACGACTACTACTACTACTACTACTACTACTACTACTACTACTACTACTACTACTACTACTACTACTACTACTACTACTACTACTACTACTACTACTACTACTACTACTACTACTACTACTACTACTACTACTACTACTACTACTACTACTACTACTACTACTACTACTACTACTACTACTACTACTACTACTACTACTACTACTACTACTACTACTACTACTACTACTACTACTACTACTACTACTACTACTACTACTACTACTACTACTACTACTACTACGACGACTACTCATACTACTCCTTTTACGACTACTACTACTACTCCCATTACTATTCATGGGCTTACGCCGCACCGCCGACCCCTTGGGACTCCTGGTAAACCCTGGGAGGGGGTTCCTTGCAGCACTAACAATCTGTCTCTCGCTATCTCGCGCGTGGTCTTATTTGTGCACTGTGTCGCAGCCGTCACCGTCGACATAGTCAGGACCTCCATTGTCACTAGACTGCTGGCACACGGAGCACGCTCAGAGGGATCGCGATCCTTCTCCTCCAGCCACGCGACAAGAAACCCAACGCTTTGCAGTCTGAGGAGCGGTGTTGCTGTGAGTATCGTGTTCGGTGGAGCCCCCCATGTCGCCGCGACAAACCGCCGCCGGCTGCTGCGGCCTCGCACCAGGCCCACCCTCAGCAGCTGGCGAACCAGCCGTCGCGCGAATCTTCATATGTTACGTGTGTATATATTCAATGCTAATATATATATATATATATATATATAGATATACATATATGTATATATACATATACACATGCAATCTTATATTGTACACACACGCGTACATAACATGGGCAGGCATGCGTGCACAGAGGTGGCACTGCGCGGTGCCATTCGACAGCGTGTTTTTTGGTTCAAGAATTGGCTCGTGGTGTGTTCATTCGGCGCCAGGTAGGCCCATTCCTTCCCAAGGGCGGAAGTTGTGAGGAAGGACGACATCCTCGGTGCGTAGTGAGGCCGCCCATCCTCTGCGCCTATTCCGTAGCCAGTTTCGGCCCGTGTGCGCGCGCGCCCAGGGTCCCCGTCCACGCGGTTCGCGCGGCAGCCGCAGCGATGGCTGCAGGGTCTCTGCAGGTCGCTGTTTTTTTGATCGTGTCGGAGTTTGTGTGGAATGCCGTTGCGGAGCGTGTCGGAGAATTGCTGTGGTGTGGGGGTGGCCGTTGGGCGGTCGATCGGAGCGTCGGCCGCCGTTGTCGCTGTCGTCGCGGACTGTCGTTGAACGCCAACAGGACCGTCTGAAACCAGGGAGCGAAGGCGACATGCACATCAATGTAAGCAGACAGATATACGATGTAAGAGGCGACAACTACGATAGACATACATGGGAAGCGGGGCGCCCCCCTGAGAAGACACCTAGGTGAACCAGGGGCGCCTCCCCTGCTTGTCATGACAGAGTGTGCCCGTTCTACGCGTAGGTGCTGCTAACATTGGGTTTCAGCTTGATGTTAACGATGCTTCATCGATGGTGTGAACGTTCGTCGGGTGTGAGCAGTGCTGCATGTCGCATGCCGCATGGCTCGGAATGTGCCCGATCACTTCTGGCCGAGGGCGCCTGTTTGTAGCACTCGGGTCCGGCAGAACGGAAAACGTCAGGGAGACGCAATGGAAGAGGGGGGGAAGAACGAGCAGAACCAAGCCAGGACGAGGAGAAACGCCAAGGAGGGGGCTCGGATGAGAAGAACGAGCAGGGGAGAGGAGGAGAAGCGGAGGAGGGGGAGGAGTGGAAAAGGAAGGGAAGAGGAGGGGCGCCGGATTTCTTCCAGCTTGGATGATCTTGTCCAGGAGCTCGGACTTCACGCCATGTTTCTTACAGATCTCGCCCAGCGCCTCGACGCTGAAAGGCCCGGCCGAAGTAACCAAGGGTTCGCCCGAGGCAGGAGGGACGATCGGCTTCTTGGCCAGCTCGAGGCGCTGGCTCTCAAGCGAAACCATCTGCACACGTAGCTCCTGGATCTGGTTCTCCTCGGACTTGGTCTCTTCCTGCAGCTTCTGAGCTTTGTCCCGCTTGTGCGCCACGGCACCCTCAGCTTTGGTAATTTTCTGGTATGGCGGATGAATGTTGCGATTGACTTCCGCAAATTGCGCACCAGCGGGTTTGGCTGCACGCCGCTGCAAGACCAACTCTTCTTTTTGCTCCAGCATCTTCTCCCGCACATCAGCCAACTCGGGTACCTGCTTAACCAACTGCTCAAGCACCCGTTGTAACTTCTTTTCGACGGCCTTGAGGCGGTGTTCCACCTCCACACTTGTGCCAATAATACCAAAAGCACCGCCAGCACCGTTAGAGTTGCCATCCATGGCCACGTCGTCATCGTTGGGGGCGTCACGCACAGGGACTCCACGCTGACGAAGTTGTTCTTGCAGCTGGGCCACCTGCTGCTCCAGCTTGTGGTACCGTTCCTGGGCCAATGGCTCCGAAGGGCGGAACCCACCTGTTCGAGCCGAGTGTGATGGAGCAGCGCCCATGGTGGTGCGGGTGCCGCCGAACACGCTACCTTTGTGCATCTTGCATTGCACACAATGCAAGTGAACCGCAAACTTGCAAACCTTCTTCCCGTTGTTTGGACCCCAACTGCAGACGCAATCCTTGCAGTACCAGTCCTGTCTTTCCTTCTCCCGTCCACCCGCAGCGCCTCCGCCCATGCCTGGATGGGCCACCGAGGCCCCGCAAGCGCGCACAAGAAAGCCGCACTATGACCTGGAGCGTGAGCGAGAAACTCAACAGGTACTTTATGATGATGTGCCTGGACGGGCCAGGGGAGCGGTGGGGGCCGCAAACCTCCCCCTCGCCACTAAGACCAAGTCCTTGAGCCAATAGCTACGTACTTGAGCCAAAATGGCTACGGAATTCTCCTCCTCCTCCTCCTCCTACTCCTCATCCTCATCGTCATCCTGATCCTGATCCTCATTATCACCCTCATCCTCGTCAGCATAGTTAGTAATCAACCCCTCATCCGATTCCAATCCCCAGCCATCCTTCATCCATCCTCCGTCCTCCTCTCTCCATCTTCCAACTTCTGCCCATTGCCATCCTCCTCCTAACCACACTTCCTCTCGAAGCCCTTATCACTATCTGCCTCCATCTTCTCCACGTCCTTCTCCAATAACTGACAACTCCTCCGCCTCCCCATTGGTGGCGGGCGCACGCCTGCTCTGTACGCATCTCAGGGCTCAGCCCCGCGGCGAGATTTCCGAGGCCGAAGGCCTCACGCAACAGCGTGGTCTTGCCCGCGTCAGGGGCGCCGGCGACGACCTTGGCCGAGCTTATGAGCTGATGTTTCTTGTTCAAGCTGTTTCTCGGTCGATCTGAGGGGTTGGGGGATGGGCGGGGGTTGAGGGAGACAGGTAGTGGGAGCGTGAGCGGGATGAGCGAAACTCCCAGCAAGAACGCCGTCCCGTTCACTCCCATTCGCCCTCCTGCCACACAGGTTGCACACGGGACGCACCACTGACAGCGGTCGCCAACCGATGGGCAGCCAGGAGGGACCTAAGCTGGGCGCGCTGCAGTCACAGGGTGCGACACGGGCAGCAGGTGCCCCTCGGGTGCGCAGGTGCACCTTGGTTGCCAGATGCGCCAAGTGCGTCAAGTGTCCGACGAGCTTCACGTGCGTCAGGCGCGTCAGGTGCGCCGTGTTTTCGGCGCGCAAAGAATGCACCAGGTGCGCGAACGTTTGTGAGACCCACTGGGCCCGATGTCGACACCCTCCCCGCCATCCACGCCCCGAAAACAATACAGAATGACGGCGGGGTGGTCAGGAAGGCAGGCGGCGTGCGCACCCGCAATCATGTCGCATGTGCTGTTGTCAAGGACGTACACCAACAACACACATCAACCACAGTCACCAAGAGCACGCACCACTAGCATGCACAAATGGAATTTATCTACGACAGGCATCAAGACACGGCACTAAGCACATGTCACATGCACCAAAAACATAACTATCCGGCGTCAAGAACAAACACCAATACTTTAAACGGAACTACGCTTCAAGACACGACACCCCAAGCACAACAATACCTGGCACGCACACACACATACTCCAAGACCAATCGTCGAGACACACGGCCAACACGAATCGCCAAAAACAGTCACCAGCAACATGCACCGACCACTAAACTATAATACTAACCGGCGCTCGTTGCAGGCACCGTGGACATATTTCGAAGGCAGGCGCCAGCATCAAGATCCAGAAACGCTGATACAGATCAGCCGCCAAGAGCTGACATCAACGCCACACGTCAACAACACACAACAGTAACATGCGTCAATCACAAACGCCAAAGACATGCACTACGACACTACAACAGGATACACATAACCTCAGTTGTGGAGATCCCTATAGTACAATGTTGACCAGCGCGAAACTCAAACAATGTATTCTACCATGCTACTTGCTGTAATTAGGTGGTGCAACTCATCTAGCAGAACTTGAAATTGTCATCTCCACTTGTCGCGCAGTCATCCCGCCCACCCCCCTTGGTTTGCAGAAGCCATGCGGCGGCGATTGTGATGACTGGCCGGCAAGTCGTTGCGGCCGCGCTGGCGCGCGCAGTCTCGCGCGCAGAGCGGCGAGCTAGTTTTGCGCGACCGACGCGGCCGCGGTGGCGCTGAGCGCTTGGGACTTTCCAGCCGTCTCGCAGGCCGCAGGCGCGGTACGATGGCGACGTCGACAACGGCTGACACCATGATGATGGTAGCGGTACGGGCGATGATGATGACGATGATTAAAGATTTGGACGGTATCGACATGCGCACGCGGCCGACGGGCGCGAGTGGCCCGCATGGTCTAATCCCACCAGCCCTTTGGGCGTGAGTGGTTTAGCGAGCTTTCTCTGTTCTCAACCCCCCAACCCCCTTCTTCCCCTTCGGGGAGGGGTTTACCCCTCCCCCTACCCCCTCCCCCTGGGTCTGGAGAGGGCGGGCCGCGGGTGGTCAGAGGGGTCTTTTTCGACTCCTGGGAGGGCAGAAAAACGACACCCCTCACGAGGATTCTGCCCCCGACGGGGGGACGCTCATAGAACCCTCTCCTCTTCTGTGAAGCAAAAATCATTGATGTTACTACGGTTTCGGCCCCATTTTGGCCTTCTGAGGGGGCAGCGCTCCTCTTCCTTGTTCTCAAAATCGTTGATTTTACGAAGGTTTTGGGCTTATCTTGTCCTTCTCAGGGGGTAGCGCTCATTTGCGCTTCTGCGGAGGTCGCAAGAGGCCCCCAAGAGGCTCCAAGATGCCCCCAGGAGGCTCCCAAGAGGCCTCCAAGAGGCCCCCAAGAGGCCCCCAAGAGGCCCCCAGAGGCTCCCAACAGGCCCCCAAGAGGCCCCCAAGAGGCCCAAGAGCCCCCAAGAGGCCCCCAAGAGGCCCCCAAGAGGCCCCCAAGAGGCCCCCAAGAGGCCCCAAGAGGCCCCCAAGAGGCCCCCAAGAGGCACCACGAGGAGCCCGAACGACTCACACCAGGACGAGGGGTCCGAACGACTCACACCACGAAGAGCCCGAACGACTCACACCACAAGGAGGAGCCCGAACGACTCATACCAGGACGAGGCGCCCGACCCATTCACACCACGAGGAGCCCGAACGACTCACACCACGACGCGGGCCTCGAACGACTCACACCACGAGGAGCCCGAACGAGTCACACCAGGAGGAGGGGCAGCGCTCATACAAGCCCCCCAAGAGGGCCCCCAGAGGTCCACCATATGGCCCCAAGAGGTCCCCAGATGGCCCACAAGAGGTCCCCAGGAGGCACCACTACGCCTCCATGGGGCCCCAAATCCGCCGATCCGGCGTGTGAGTTTCAAGGAGTCTCAGCTACAGCCTCGAGGCTGAGCTTCAGCCTCTGGGGGGGTCGCCGGGGTGGCTCTGCCGGGGAAGGGGGGGTGGGGGGGGGGGGGGGGGTGCGAGTTTCCGGCGAACCCCGGGGCCGCTCCGGGGGGGCCGCTCCGGGGGAGTGGAAGATAGGGGGGGGGGGGGCGCCATGCTCCGCTTTTTCCGGCGCTTTGGAGGAGGGGGGGGGCCCAAGAGACCCCCAAGGGGTTCCAAGAGGGCCCCGAGTCGCCGAAAAATCGCTCCAAGACGCCCGAGATGGCCTCCAGACGGCCCAAGGTGTCTCCAAGACGCCCCAAGAAGCTTCCAAGAGGCCTCCCAAGAGGGCCCCAAGAGGCCAGAATCGTTGATTTTCATTGGTTTTCTCAGGGTTTTTAGCGTTCTTGCCTTTTCGGGCGTCCGACGCTCGAAGACGGCCCAAGAGGCCCCCAAGTCCGTCCCAAGACGGCCCACGATGCTTCCAACACGGCCCAAGAGAGCCCCAAGACGGCCCAAGAGGGCCCCAAGACGGCCCAAGAGGGCCTCTGGACAGCCCAAGAAGGCCCCAAGAGAGCCCCAAGAGGGGCCCAAGAGGGGGACCACGAACCGAAAGAACCGAGCTTTCCGCCCCAAGAGGCCCCCAGGAGGCCCCAAGAGACCCCCAAGGGGCCCCAAGAAGCCCACAAGAGGCCCAAAAGAGGTTCCAAGAGGCCCCAAAACAGCTCCCCAGAGGCCTCCAGACTGCCTCCGGCAGGCCCCCGGTTTCTTCCGCGGCACCGCCCAGGGCGCCACCGGCAGGATGTCCTCCGTCTCATCGTTTTCCTTCAAGTTATCGCCTCTTCCTCATTCTCCTCCTCCTCCTCTGCGACCTCACTCCTATCCCTCAACGATCGCGTCACCGAGTGCCTCTTCTTTGAAACATCCTCGCTCTTCAAACGCACATCCATACACACATGCATACATACCTACATTTAAACACATTTGCATACATAGAAAAACAATCTTCCAGACATACATACTTACATTCACACACATACACACATATTATCATACACACATACAAACATACATACAAACTAAATACATACATACGCGCACAAGCATACATACATACATACGTACCTACACACAGGCACACATGATCAATGCATGCATACATGCATGCACGCGTACATACACACACATATATCGTGAAACTCACCGCGTGCTCGAAACTTGAGAGAGACCGCGGGAAGTCGAGAGAAGCCGCGGAACGAGGCCTCTACTACTACTACCACTACTACCACAACCACTACTACTACTACTACTACCACTACTACTACTACTACTACTACTACTACTGCTACTACTACTACTACTACTACTACTACTAATACTACTACTAGTACTACAGGAGCGTTTCCCAACTAGTATGTGTGTGTGGGTGATGCTGTGTGCGCATGTCTGCGGCGCAGGTTAAGTGGTGTGACTGTGTGTGTGCGTTTGAGTGTGCGCCCATAATTTCTGCGTCTGGAGAATAACCCCGAGCGACCCGGATCGGCGGCACTGGCCGAAGGCCACTACAATATACCCCCAAGAGGTCCCCAAGAGGCCCCAAGAGGCGCCGAAGACGCCCCAAGAGGCCTCCGAGCAGCTTCCAAAAGACATCTACTACTACTACTACTACTACTACTACTACTACTACTACTACTACTACTACTACTACTACTACTACTACTACTACTCTTTCCCATACGATTACTACTACTTGTACTTCTACTACTACTCATACTCGTTTCACTACATACTGGAAAAAACCACTACTACTACTACTACTACTACTACTACTACTACTACTACTACTACTATTACTCCTACTACTACTAGTACTACTACTTCTACTACTACTACTACTTTTAGTACTACGACGACGACTACTACTACTACTACTACTACTACTACTACTACTACTACTGTCACTACTACGAGTACTACTACAACAACTACTACTACTACTACTACTACTACTACTACTACTACTACTACCACTACGACTACGACTACTACTACTACTACGACTACTACTACTACTACTACTACTACTACCTACTACTACTACTACTACTACTACTACTACTACTACTACTACTACTACCTACTACTACTACTACTACTACTACTACTACTACTACTACTACTACTACTACTACTACTACTACTACTACTACGTACTACGACTACTACTACTACTACTACTACTACTACTACTACTACTACTACTACTACTACTACTACTACTACTACTACTACTACTACTACTACTACTACTACTACTACTACTACTACTACTACTACTACTACTACTACTACTACTACTACTACTACTACTACTACTACTACTACTACTACTACTACTACTACTACTACTACTACTACTACTACTACTACTACTACTACTACTACTACTACTACTA